AAATACCATCTCAAAAGGTACATTTGAGAACACTGAAGTGTTTAGCAACTACAGCAAAACCGTCAAGATTATAATCTATGTTAAAAGAGACTCCACAAACAAACGTCTCTCAGTCATCAAAGTCTAGAGAGGGCATCCATCTGGAGCACTTTATCACGTCACATTATTAACACACTCTACCGTGACAAAAAGCATGGTTCCTTGTGGGATTCATTGAACTAGACGTACAGGCATCTAAAGCTGGCTGAAGTGCCCTGAAACATCCTGTCGAGCTTCTAGATACTGCTGCTAGAGGATACTGATCTGCTGTAGGACCCAAGTTGTATTTTCTAGCCCATACAGAAATTACTCTGGCATCTCAGATACCCTAAACCATCTTGAATGTCACCAGATGTTTATGTGAAGCTCAATGTATATAAAAGATGACTTAACTACTTGAGCTGTCTGAACTACTAAATTGCCTATTGGGTAATCTTATGCTCTTGTGATATCCACTCCATCTATCAGTATAATTCCTCACTGATAATCCCCTCCTACATATAACCCGTTCTTGAAATGAGATTCTGAAAAGCCTCTAAACCACAACTAAGTCAATTTTTTAACAGCCCAGAATCCCGGTCAAGCATTTTTGCCTACACCAAAACACATCAGTTTCTGTTCCTCACAATGCTTGAAGCAGCAATCTTTAAATTAATCAATGCACATCCATTAAGAGGGGGAACATTTGGATCCTTCCCTCACTATGAGCTGTTGAAATACAGCAGAAGAATGTCCTTGGAAAGTTTACAAGTAAAATATGAACAAAACACTACATAGAACACAAAAATTAAATCAAGGCAAGCACCATATATAAACTGAGTAGGATACAGTTTAAGTATAAAACCAACTTACTGAAATGAGAAATCAATCCCTGTATTAAGAGTAAACAGTCAGTTCTAATGTCAAAGGACAGTCAAAGAATAGAGGAAGTATATAGTACAGTGCACTGAATGCCAGTTAACCACACATTGGTATTCTAGTGCAGTACTTTGCAATACAAAGAGTAGTACTGCATAGGAAGCATCACCTTTTCTTCCTTTTATAACGATTACTATTACCATGCATCTGCATGTAAAAGAGACTTGAAAGCTGTCACTGGAAAAGCTCACCAGGAAAAAGCAGATTCTGCTGTAACCAGGTGTCACAGAAAGCAAGCCCACGTGTCTCAAAAGTTAGGAGTTAACCGTCTGTTGCATTATCAGATCAAGTCTTAAAAAGTGCTAGCCTTCACGAACCCTTATTTTTACAAAGAATTTGCCTGAAAATCAGTGAATGGAAATTGTGACTGGCTGAGTTAATTCCAGCGCAACACACAGCATGCAAGATTAACTTTGCTCCATTTGGAAGTGTTCAGAGCTGTCTGCAACAGTATTATAAAATTTTCATTTGAGAAGTCTGAAGGGACTCATCAGTTAAAAACCACCACAGAACTCTTCATACATTCTTCCCTTTTCTACAGATGAATAAAGATGCCTCTGTTTATAAAGAAAACTTTCTGTAACTGCAATAGCAGTGCAGTATAGCTCAGCGGAGTTTAACAGATTCAATTCATAGCACAATTTCAGAAATCTTCACATCCATAAATTTACAGGGATTATGCATCTGAATGCTGCTCTTTACATATTCAATGGCAATCAGGATATAGAGAGTCCCACCTGCATTCTGGGGGCTTCACTACATGCCACTTCAAACTGTATAAAAGGTGCAGACATTTCAAAGTATTTATTCAGTTTCATCTTTGATTACACCAGTATACACTTTTATTTTAGAAAGCATGACCTCAGTCCTTATTCAGTTGCTTATAAAATCAATTATAACTTGAGTAGCTCCTTAAATTTTCTGTAGAACTAGTGACTTTTTATCAACAAGTTGAAAACTCCTCATTTTTAGAAGATAAAATCCCTTATTCTTCAGGACAGAAGCTGTCCTACCAGTTTTTCAACACAGCAGAATCTACAAGGGCTCTAGTTCACCAATACAAATATTCATGTTATACGCACAATTCTACTGCTTGCTTTTGGCATTATTAATGCACTACATCCAGCTGAAAGCACCCATATTTTCATGCTGTATTACCTTAAACATTCACATAAATGCAGAAATTGTTGCAAACACTGTTTACAGAAAGCTGTGGGAAAATTGTTTTGAGTTATACTTTCCCATACTAGAGAACGTCTTAAGCATCTTAAAGACAAAAAAGTTTCCAAAAAAGTAAGAGGTGCTCACTTCAAAGCCTTCTGATGAGAAAAATTACAAGAGCTTTTAGTCAGAATCCAAAGCTCATCACAGGTTTACAGGACTCCAGTCACTGACACAGCAACTAGCCACATAAAGTGGAGGCAGCTTTGAAACTATTAATTTTCATCGAATGGAGTATATATAACACTGCTGACAGCGCCAGAACCTTCTTCTGCAAGAAGTGGAGCCTGTGCCACATTACTCATACCTTAAAGCTGACAATGACAGTGATCGATACATGAAGTAAATAAACTGCTTTTGAACAAATAAATAAATTCAGGTGTTAAGCAGGGGGAGAATGGTTTTGGATGCATGCCTCAATGTTACCAGTGCAGAGGTATGTTGTTAAGTCCACCGTTTCCACAGTCTAAGATGTATCACTACTCCTCTCCAGGAGAGGCTAAAGTAGTTGCAATATCCCAGGAACACTTTGGCAGTAGTGGTACCTCCACTTGCTAAGCTAGACAGCTCTATGTGCTGTGTTGTACAGCCTTCCTTCTCAGGAATCCAAAAGGTTAAGTTCTCAGGTTCTTTTTAAGCCCATGACTATTTAACATGCAGAACTTAACTTCACGGCTTTAAGGTTAGCCAGGAACACTGACATTTTTAGAGACAGCAAGTAAAATCTCTTGATACTGCTGCTGAAGTAAATACAATCAAAATCAAACAGAACCTATGTCAGTCTCCTGGTATGTAGAACATGCCTCACCTATAACATTTACTATAAAGATATTTGATTGAGAACCAACTATCTTATTTAAAGTATCTTGATTAAAAAATAAACAAAAGAGCTAAACACTCTCTCCCAGCTCCTCCTCACTAGCTTCCTACTCAATATCTTGCTCAGATTTTTCTAGGTTTTCTACCACTCAATCACAGACTGGCTGAGGTTGGCAGGGACCTCTGGAGGTCATCTTGACCAATCCCCTGCTCAAGCAGGGCCACCTAGAGCAGGTTGCCCAGGACCGTGTCCAGACAACTTCTGAGTATCTCCAAACATGGAGATTCCACAACCTCTCTGGGCAACCTGCTCCAATGCTCAGTCACCCTCACAGCAGAAAAGCATTACCTTAAGCTCAGGCAGAACCTCCTGTGCTTCCATTTGTGTCCATTGCCTCTTGTCCTGCCACCGGGAACCACTGACAATAGCCTGGCTCCACCTTCTTTACACCCTCCCTTCACATATACATCAATGAGACCCTCATCCTGAGCTTTCGCTATACTGAACAATTCCAGCCATTCTCTCAGCCTTTTTCCTCATGTGAGAGAAGCTCCAATCCCTTAACTGTCTTAGTGGCCCTTCACTGGGCTCTATCCAGTAGCTTTGTTTCTTGTACTGGGGCCTGGAGTGCTAGTATGTCCAGTGCCGAGATCACTCGTCTAAACTGAAATCCTCGTCTAGTATTCCTGAAGAATCTTCTTCTCCTGTAGGCAGTGAAGAAGTTGCACCTTCTCAGTTCAGACTCCATTTCACTTATCAGTATTATTTTGCTAGATGCTTACTCCAATATGCCCTTTACTACTTTTGCCAATTTCCCACTGGATCCAATTGCTCAAGTTCTGCTACTTACCATCTACCAGATCCTTCCTCTAGCTACTCATCTAATTCTTCAACTAACATTCTACTGAATTCAACCTCTAGCCCTTCAACCCTTTCTCTAATCCTTCATCAGAGTAATCCAACAACCTGATCCCTGAATAGCAAACTGGAGAAAGATATAATTAAAATTTGAGCTGAATTAGCCCTTTAATGCTGCCAGCAAAAATAAAAAATTACCTTTGAAAATATTAAAACACCTACATATATTATTATAGAGATTAATCAATATCAAGGCACTGAATAGGAAGAGAGCTTTGTTTTTCAAGTACACTCCTTGCAGTTTTCAATATGGGGCTTTTTACTTTCTCTAAGTAAACACTGAACACAGGATCTGTTCCCCTTTATAGGTCAGCATTTTATGCAGCAGAACATACACAGACTGAGCAAAAACTCCATTCTGGAAAAGACTTTCAATACACTAGAGCAAGCAACATCACACGCCAAAAGACCATCAACACTATGGCAAAAAGATTACTTTGACAACTTTATCACATATTGCTTCCTTTAACTACACAAAGCAACTGGGCTTCAAGAAATATTTAAGCTACCTGAGCCTTTAGGGGCTCTATCCCCCAAACAAACATGACATGAATTTGTGAGAGTGTCTAGATTATGTATGCAGCTGTTCTTAGTTTGTTAGAAGATCATTCCTGTATGATACCAGTTCAAACTGAGAGCTGTGTTGTAACAGTTACAGTTAACCTGTCCAGTTCAGAAGCTCTCAAAGCTACATTAAATATTTACAGTTCAAAAGAGATCAAATTCAACACACTAAGTTTGTCTGGTCAAATCCTCCAGAGGGAATTCCAGTGTATACTTTTTCTGTTGCATGTTAGCCCCTTCCAACCTAGAGAGACACAGCAGCCATGATTTTACAGGTTTTTTTATAAACCAGGCCTTCCAACAAAACATGAATTGGCAAGCCATACCTGTTCTGTACTATCAAATTAACCAAGCAGCAGCAGGTAGGAAACAAATATTTTAAATAATACAAAATACCAATTGTGTACCTTCAGTTTTAAGAGCTATTTCTAATAAAGCAGCATTAACTATATTTGGTTTGTAAGAGTTAAGTTTTAGCTTCACTTTAGATACACATAACTAAAACCAGCAGCTTACTTACCAAAGAAGTCGAATGAAAAGGGGTCCCTTCCACCAAAAAACTCCCTAAAAACATCTTCGGGGTTACGGAATGTAAATCCAAATTCAAATGGATTATCATGATGATTTCCACCTGCAAAAAGAAGTTACAAGAAAGTTCAGGCCTATACGGTATTAGAATAATTTAAAAATATAAACACATTTCTAAAATTTCTCTTCCCCTTTCAGGTATCACCCAAGGAAAGTACACTCAATGCTTTTTATCATTAATTCTCTTTTCTCTGTTTCCAGTTACCAATAATACTTTTACAATAACTAGAAAAATTGTAGAACAATTGTAATTTCACTTTTCAGAAGATTACATTTTAGGCCTTAGTATAGGCATTTCCAGATTCCCATCTTAAAAAGAAAGCTGCAGAAAATGGCTTTCCACCAGAATAGAAAAAGCAAAAAACTGCTAGTTGTCAACATACCTCCGCCTCCATTTATTAAGCCTTCTTTTCCATATCTGTCATAGATGTCACGTTTTTTAGCTACAAGGAGAAGTCGTACATCATGTCAGTAAACAGGCACATTGAATTTGAAAAAAAAAAAAAGACGTAACTGGTATTCTCAGCTAAAGATCTTCTCAAAGCTAGTTTATTTAAAAAAATTCTGGCATGTAACTGGTGAACATTTTTGTTGAGGACTGCTGGAGCAATTTAGGTTCAGAAAGAACAGGTACTAAATTTTAGACTTATTACCATTTAGTTGTAGAAGCACAGGTCCTGTTATATGAGAAAAAATTCTGGTATAAGGACAAACTTCACAAGGAAGTTTGCCTTTAAAATGAATATTGCAGTCTTCATCTTTACATAGGTACCATGGAAAGCTTTAGGCTGTAAAGGACCTCTAGAATTCAACCTTCTCCTCCAAACAAGTCAGTTGGTCAGAACTTGCCTGGATAAAGCCCTCATCTCATCAGTCACCAAGAAAAGAAGATTCCACTGTCTCTCTGGAAAACAGTCCCAGTGTTCAAGCACTCTCATTGTAAGAATTCTCTTCCTTCTATCCAACTGTAATTTCCCTTGTTGGAAACCTTGAGCTTTGCCTCTTTTCCTTTCATTACACAAGACCAAGCCCATTGTGACAGAGGTATGAGAACAGAAGGACAGTGTTTGTATGAGTGACTGCAAAACCCCACCAATTAATTATAAACACTTCCAGTTTAATAAAGGGGAATGAAGTTATATTAAAAAAATGCCATGGAAGGATTTGACTCAAACTGCTTGCTCTCTATTATTCCAGAAGGCATGGAATAGTTCTTCATTTCACTGCAGACCAGCCTTCCAGTATCCACGAGAAAGGGGAGAAAAATTAACTCTACATTACTACACAAGATCAGACTGCACTCTTGGTACTGGAAGGGAACCTGAAGAGCTTAAAGAGGCAGATAGTCAGCTTGTTTTGCTTGCACTGGTGTGGAAGCATCAGCCAAAAACCAGTCAGGGCATCTGATTTTAGACTCTTAACACTAACATGCTATTCCCACTAGAACTGCTTCAGTGAAAGATGTTTTTGAAATTTAAATAGCATCACTGAAAGAACATGCAGTTACCCCAAACAGCTGCTGAAAAGTAAAATACTTTTAACAGGAATTAAAATATTATATACTGGTCATCATCTCCAAATAATGGAAACTTGCAATAGGTTCACACACACACACACCCCCAGCAAAGCTTGGTACATTGCCCGTATTGCCTTTCTAGAAAGCAATTTTTAAAGAAAGGAGGTTAACCTACCCACCAAGGTAAAAATACCAAAGCAGTAAGGCAGACAAACTGTCAGAAGGAACAGGAAACAGTGAGGAAGACCTGAGGGCTCACAAAGCCCGTTGTATTGAAAAATACAACGTTCTTGAAACCTCAAGGGAAGGTACGTTCTACGATCACCCAATTTTAGTATTCTTTGCTTATGTAACCCCTTACAAAACTATTCTTCTGCCAAAAATCTGCCTTCATTCAAGCTTGTAATGGTGTCAGAAAAATTCATTAAGTCTGCAGAACAGTTGATTGCCTCTCATAACCACAGGGCTCAGGATTCAGATACCCCTGCTGCACAAATGACTGTTAAGACACCAGTAACTTAGGCTTTGGTCTAGATCCAAGAACAGGCAGCGTTTTTAGCAGATGTTCTAAAATTCTAGCAGCATACTGTTTCCAAAGAACTTATCTGTATAACAACCAGACCAGTATCCTATTTTTATCTTACTGAAAAAAATTGCTTAAGAAGGTTAAATCACTCTTAGAAGACAAGGATAAAATGAATTGCCCAAAAATTAAGTTCTGTTTCTCCCATGTCAATTAAGTATCAAAACCAACCAAAGAAACAGGGCATAGAAGACTGCAGAGCTTGATAAACCAGGCCAGATTCTGAGAGGTAATCTAGATGCTGCTAGTGCTTTAAATATAGCTTTCCCATGCTCACTGGTCTCAGGTGAAATCAAGGACACTTCAGAAATAGCATATAGACAGCTGCAGTCAATTACAGGGGAAAATAATCAAAGTAGTCACTTTGTTATGATTCAGACTGCTTTTGCCAGAACACTAGCAAAAGAGAATGCTACTTTTCAAGCAGAAAGATAGAGGTGAACTATAAAGCTGAATTCCTGCACCGCTTGGGTCACGCCAAGCAACTGTTTCAGAACAATTCAAAATAAACACCCTCCTCAGTATCACAGTTGACTGAATTGACCCAAATGCAATCCAAATGTTCAGCAAGGTTTAACAGTATGCTTGGACTTTGTCAAGACTAGTTTACTGTTATAAGAACTAGGAGCAGTAGGCCCAGCAGCAGATGTTGCTTCAGAGTTTTTCTAGCCTGAATTTTTCTTGGATAAACACAGTAATTCCTCTACATCGATGGTAACATCGGCTTTACCTCCTAAGATAAAATTAATATTGGTATTCACAGATATCTCTTCAGAAATCTCTGAAGAGGGCCTGGCAAACATAGGATTTCAATTTCTAGAAGGAAATTGGTTTGGTTACTCATCTAGAGAGAGCCTGAATTTTTGTTTCAAAATTTCTGCTTATTCTGTCTTACCTGCAAGCTTCTTTCTCTCTCCTTTCTTTTGAAAAGGAAGTAGTTAAGTGGGATGGTAAACCGAAGTTACAATATCCCTTTAAAGTATTATACATCAGCATTTTCAGCCTGACACCCAGACTAGAGACCTGCAGTTCAAGAGCCCTTTTAAAATACCTACCATCTGACAAAACTTCATAGGCCTCAGCTACTTGTTTAAATTGCCGTTCTGCCTCTTCTTTATTGTCTGGATTTTTATCAGGATGCCATTTTAATGCCAATTTACGGTACCTAAGTAGAAGAAAAACAAAGGATATTTTACTCTGAAATGAAGGAATATGCTTTACAGATAAACACAAAATGTTTCAAACAAGTTTTCCAGTATTAAAATATTCAGAAACTCCCCAGTGCTTCATATCTGCATCTAGACCAACACCAACAGATTCTGCAGGTACACAAAGAACCATCTACTCAGATTTGCCTTAAAAAAAAAAAGGAAAAAACGAAAAAAAGCAGGTTTGGTGTTCTTCACTTATTTTGAGATTATTCCTGTGTGTTTCTGATGATCAACATCCGGCAGGTCTAAGCAAAACATTCCATAACATTTCTGCTATGGGCTTCTCAGAGCTCCACAATTATTCAATACTACAACCAACCACAGGAAGCATCAGGAGTACCCTCTGGAACAGACAAAGACAATAAAGCTCCAAGAGTACCCTGATACCAAATTGTGGCAGAATCCTAACATCAGTGGCTTCTTTGACTACTATACCTGCACACAATTCCTATCCTCAAGTGAAACATTATAGGCAAATAACTACTTCAAGGGGCAAAGCCAAGCTCACACTTGTTTTGACTTGGAGTGTTTTACAAACAGCCATACAAGATCACAGTTCAAACAGCTGAGTTAAAGTATTATGTGCAGGAGTCTGCAAAAGAACAAGGCAGGGGGGGTGGGGAGGGCGGAAATCAAGTTTCCACACACTAGTGCAATTTGATTAATTAAGCTCAGGTGCCTAGGAGAAGGCAAGAGAGAAACACAGTATTTCCAGGTCACTTGCAACTGCAATTTATTGTCAAACTGTTTTGGTATACTAGAAGTGTAGTACAGAAATGTTTCCTCCCAATTGTTTGTTGAAAAGTAAATGATATCTTTTGAAAATGTTACAAACACCCATCTTAAAACAGTACATAAACAGTAAATCTAAACAAAGAACTGTATTTAATTCCTTTGAACACTCCTAATTTAAACAGTGGTGGGGTTTTTGTTTAATAGTAACAGATGTTCAGTCCATCAAAATCTAAGCACAGAAACCAGACCTTATGTTAAGAAAGAGCTAGTATCCAAAAAAGCAGCACGCCAAATACTTGTTAATAACTTTGAAAAAGCACCTCTGCAAATGGAGGGGAAGACTAGTTACTGCAATTCAGCCACAGAAGAAGGGGCTGTCACTGCCTGTACCACATCAAGTTTGGAGGCACACTTGTGCAGAAATGTATTTAACAGAGATCAAAAACCCGTGACTGACAGCATTTTCACTTTAGCAGTACTCAGGATTCTTTTCCGGATTTCATAAAAATGAGCAAATGCTTTTCCTTCAGAACACTAAATGTATTTCTCTCTAAGCAAAGGTATCGCCTCCGATGACTACTATTCATCCTAGTATTGACAACAAAATGAGAATCCAGAAACCACGTGATTATATATGTTCCTTAAAATATGTATTTTAGATATATACCAGTGATACTTACGCTTTTTTAATATCTTCTGCTGAGGCATGCTTTTGCACTCCCAGAACTTCATAGTAATCCACCATGTTTCAGTTGTTGTCTTGTTAACCACAGCCGAATCTTTCAAGTCCTGTAACAACAAGAACTTGTAAATGAAGCTTGTCCAGTAATGCCATTTCACAGAAGTCAGCTAGGAACCTAGTATCTTCCAGTACCGAACCTGATCTGAGAGCTGCTTGGTTTTAGAAATGTGAATGTTCCAAACACCAAAAAATAGTTAACAGATCAAACAATTACTTTGATTCTGTTTTTTGTTCATCCAACTGAAAAACAATGCACAGAGACACAGGTAAACAGCAGGTTCCTGAAAAGCTAGTTTTAATCAGTATATTAAGAGCATGTACGGTATATCACCATTTTGATATATACGTATCATCTTCACTTTATGCCACCTTGGACACCTATGTCATGTCTTAAGCACACATGAGCATAAACAAAGGGCCACATCTTTCCCATCTACTGTTCAGAACATTACTTCCACGGAGATGTTCCCTTCAAAAAAAGCAATGTATGTACATGTCTTAGGAATCTGAAGTTCCACCTATAGTTTCCAATAAGCCTTTCTTGTACTCAACCCTTGACAGAAAATTCACATATTGCCATAGCTACTGAATTCCATGTACTTCCTTTATGTTTACCAACATAAAGTACATAGCCAGGCAAGAGTGCTCAAACTGCAAGGTTAACCAATCAACTAAAGTACAGAGGCACCTTGTGTTTCTTACCATAAGAGAATAAAGTTTTTACAAGAGTCCTAAGAAACCCACAAGTCAAAAGGAAAAGCATTTGTGCTACTCAATTTAAATACTGACAGTTTCCTGTCAATATTAAGAGAATAGTTACAAAAAACAGTTACACTAACCATTACTTCAACTAAACAACCACTAAGATTAAAGAATCTTTCTAAAAATTTCAAGGACATTTCATCTCTTCATGCAAAGGCTTATTCTCCCCACCACTGTAAAAAGTCTCCATTCTGGCAAAACTTGCAACCACCTTTCCATCCTACCACTGCTGCTGGTTCGTTTCAATTTTTATGAACACGGCAACACTGACATTTTCAACGAGTTGATAACTTGCTGAAAAACAAAGTCACCCAAATATATTTAGAACATAACAATACAGCAATGTATGCCACATTTATTGCACTAGTATTATATGTATCTTTCAACATCCTTGGATATAAACATTAAAAGAGACTTCCTTTTAAAATAAATCGGTATATCTTCAAAATAGGTTGCTGTTGTAGGTTAAAGCTTAATTAACTTTAATTAGGGATGTGGTTACACACACATTTCCTCAAATGGCAAAACCAGTTTAAGAGGTACCCTGCCACGCTACCTCCCTCCTTCAAACTACTTACAGAAGCAAGTGTATTGGAAGAGCTACGTATTTTTAAAACTTGGGTGGTTTTAGCAATCTAGTTAACCATACAGTCCCACACACACAAAATTAAAACGTAGCTGGTAAACAGGCTTCTAATTGACTGTCCTTTGAAGAAACCTCCACACTGAAAAAATAGTAAGGCTATAGTTAATATTGTGACCAACAACCAACTAATACAGTAATGGCAGGGTTCAATATGTAAACATATTGATTACCAAAAATATCCCAGAATATTAGCTATCAACTAGCCTCACTAGCTTTGTCCTTTCCCAAATGACAATTAGAACAGCAGCTCTATGAATAACCAGGTGAGGAGTAAGGTTAGCATGGGTTAAGTATGTTAACAAGTCCTGTAGACAATCCTGATGAGCAACAGTATATATGGAACATATAGTTTACAGAAAGAAATCAGAGGGGGCGTAGAGGCAGGAAATCTAGTATGAGTCAAGCTTCGGGCTAGAGGTCAGTCGCTCCTAACAACAGATACAAGCCTAAAACCAGAGAGCTAACAGCAGGAAGCCACAACATATGAGAGCACATACCATACTGCTAAATGTTTTTTCCATATTCTCTCTTAAATACAAGACTTGCATTAGCACTCCTCTCAGTTTAGGCAGGTATCTTAAAGGGAAAATTCAAAACTCAAGCTTCTAGCTAGAATAAGCAGGTAGGAAAAACAACTTAGATGTAAAAAATAAGCCACATCTTTTCCTAGAGAACTTTGTGCACACTGGTAGTCATATTGATTTCAACATATATTTCTTTAAACACTTTAGCTGTTTGTTTAAAAACAGTGCTGCAGGCTTGTGAGTTCAGACTTAATACATATACCAATATATCCTAAACAACACAAGCCTGATGTTGGGACCAAAAATGAGTGCTGAGGCAAGAAGACTAGCTCTGAATAGGTTACTCTGACCCTAAAAAGCAACTCCAAGAACAGAGGAATTATTTGTTTCAAAGAAATGTCTGGGGCTTGCATATTCTATCTTTTGTGAGTGTTATTGTTCAGTTTTCACTTGCCACTAATAAAATCTGGAATTAAAACAAGCCAGCAGCTCTCTAAAGAAAACAAACTGTTCATATTCTCCATCTCTTAATCAAACATTTGGGTGACAGTAGGAGTTCATCTCCAATCAGTTCTATCTGCTAGTTACCATAAAGCACAGACTGCACTGCTACAGTTTTCTGTATTATAGGATTTTTCCTGTGTGCAAAAAGGTTTTAGCAATATTTACATGAAGAAAATACATCTGCAACTTTTCTTTTTGTCTAATGTAAGCAAAACATGCAAAAACATGAAACAGCATCAGCTAATACTTAGCCCCTTAAAAATAGTTGGGAGTTTTGCCCAATATCCAGTAAGAACAAAAAAACCCACACACATCATAAAAACAAAACCCAACTCAACACTCACAAACTAGAAAAGATCTCTGTCTCCAATCTTTCCAGGAAAAAAAAAAATATTTAAAATATGCACTCAAGAAGACAACCACTATCGACTTACAACAAAGCAGAAAACAGCTGATCATCAACCTGTAGCAAAACAGAAAATAGCCAATTAAAAAAAATTAAATCAGTAGTTTTAAGGCTAGTAGGAATCCGCATGGTGAAAATGCCCTAGATGTTTCAAAGCAGCAAACCCGCAAAATGAAAAGCAAAAATACTGATCTAATACTAACCAAATACTAATCAAAATACTAACCAAAATGACATGACAAAAATAATTTTCTAACCCCAAATCTGTCAATTTGTCCCCAAATACAAGAGCAAGCCTCATTAAACAAGGCACTCGAGTTATTTTTTTCCAAAGCCACAAGGAAGCCAGCCCACACCAGCTGATTTCCCGCCTCCAACCACAGAAAATCTTCAAAGTCTCAAAAGAAAAAACAAGCAAAAAAACTCCAGGTGAAAGAAGTTGTTTCACAGCTTTCATGTTTGCTTGCAAAAAATCTACAGTTACTTGTGTTCATAATTACACTGTTTATAGGATGTTATCAGCTACTCTAACTCCTTTCTTTGGAGCATGAAACCAAACATCAAAATGTTTATGTGAAGCAAAAGTTTCCATAGCTTACAGATTTCTCAGTCATCACAGGAGAAGTCAGCTTTTTTCTGGCTTATGGAGCAGAAGCCCTGAACACTCATAATGACTCAAGGCAACTGATAGGAGTATACGGCCAGGCTTGAGACCTCCCTCTTACAGCACAGCCCAAAGCTACATCAGTTTAGAGCTATCTTGAAAGCCGGCTCCTAAACTCTCTTTACAGCAAAGTCCTTGGCTACATAAAAGGCACGAGAAGAATTACAGAAGATAGGTATGTAGAGAGCTATAAACTTTTATAAGATCAGATGACAAAGAAAACAATAAAAGTGATCAGATGCACAGCCTGCAGGGCTGACAAAGCAGCACCCCTAACTAAATACAGAAGGGAGGAAGGTATCCAAACAAGAAATTCTTAAATCAGTCAGAAGGGAATTCAGACAGCATGCGACCTTTGCAGTCAGCCTAGTCAGAAAAAGTTATCTATTTCTGGCCATGAAGCAACGGGGCAGCACAGAGAGTCCTGCAAGATGCCAGAATAGCTCAAGCTGACTAGTGCAGTCACCTGGGGAGAGGGAGATGGGAGCTCCAAATTCCTGATTCATGCACTTCACAGCAGCAGCCAGCCATCAACATCCTCTGCAAGTTGCACAGCCATCCAATTCCTAGCACCTGCCTGCTTTCTATGAACGTACCTAAAGGACTGTATCCTGCTGGCAACACAGGAAGAATAAATACCCTGTTCTGAATCCATAAATACCCTGTTCTGAATCCCAGTTCCGCTTGAGCTTGCATCTAACCTACCCAAGAGCAACTGAGCAATTTAGAGATGGCTCTGGTATGTTAACAGATGATGCACACACTCAGGAATATTTGGGAACTGCAACCTACAATTAAAAGCTATGATTTTTCACACTCTGAGAGTTTTATTAGAAAGCTGGACCTGATGAAATTTTACACTCCTTCAAAGTACAAACAAGGCTACCAGACCATTAATACTGTTGTGGATCCAGGGCCATACAAAGAATACCAAGCAACACACATACTTTTGAAGTTTCCTAGTATTTCTTTGTTTTTTTAATATATCTAAGACACCTTTGCTAAGCTTTTTATTATGTACAGTACAGTAAATTCAGAGACAAGTATTTGCAGTCTTAAAGTAACAAACTTCAGACAAAGTTCAGTCACTTCATTTGCTCACAACCTACAGATTTCAAATGCAATCCATGAATTGTAATAACCTGCCTGTCTCTCCAAGTTACCCGTCTAAAAGAAGGGTAAATAAAGATCAACCATAAAGCACTATTTGCCAAGGCTCCCAAGACACATTTGTACCCGTGGCTCAAGGAGTTCTCACTGGCTTGAAGAGGCGACTGCCTTTAACACACAGATACTGGTTACAGAAACTGCCCTCTGGCGTTACCCTACATCCTAACTGAAAAAAAGACAAATCTCACACCACAGCTCTTCAGAGCAGAACACCACCCAGGCAACAATCAAATGCACCTTCCCTAGTACAACTCAGCAACACAGGAAGCTATACAAGTCCCAAAACCTTGGCCACATCTGAAATAAGATGAAGAGATCTGCGTCAGTTCTAGCAACAAGTATCTGGGATGTGCCATATGTAACTGAGCCGAGACCGTGAGC